CTTGCTCGATGCAATGGGCTACGGTTCCACCTGTGTCAACTTGGCCTTGCAACCAAACAGCAGAAAGGACTCAATTCATTGTTGTACACTGCCGGCACTTGTGTCGACCACGATGCTCAATGCAGCTGCCAAGTTTCTGTTGTGACCCTCGTGTGTGCTGCAAGCTGGCAGCCGGCGCAGTGCCATTTTGATCGCGACTCCAAGCAGTGACAGCATCATACAACATATGTTAACAGTTAACATTGCACTCTTGAGTTGGAGCTGTGTTGCGGCACTGTGCAACTTCTGAAGCAGCCTGGCGTGGCATGGTTAGAGAGAATCAGGTGAAAAGGTTCGGGTTGAAGCTGAGCAGTCGTCGGCCCCTTTCAGTTCCTCATGGTTCGCAGGTTTCTCCGGTCACATCTCGGCGGCCGCATCCTGCAGGCAACGGCGGGTAAATAGACCTTTGCACAAGGACTGCAAGAGCTTCTTCTCCTTAAGTTGAGCATGTTGCTGCAGCCATTTTCAAGCTCGGGCTGGAGTGCACCAGGTCAGACATCCTCTGGCCATGAAGCGGCCAGCATCGCGAAAACAAAACAAACCTGTGCGGCCAAGGCTCGAGAAGTTGAGCAAAGCACAGGTTGCACGGTGCATCCGAGACACTGTGGGCAAGAAGCGGACCTGCTATGCACTTTTCATTGAAGAGCAATATCCCATCATCTCCCAGGAGTTGACGGATGAATGTTTTGTTCCCGAAGACGGCCGCCTCCAACGAACGATCATGCACCGCATTTCAGTTAGATGGAAAGGCCTTTCAGAGAAAGAGAAAGACACGTATAGGAATGCCGCCAAGGAGGAGTTCGCGGCTCAACAGTCCGCTCTCAGCCAAGTGTTGCGTGACAATGATGAGGCGCCTGCGGAAGTGCCGCTGGCGGATGCTCCAGCAGTTGTGGGAAACTGGACTTTCCTTAATCCAGATGAACCGTTGTGGACAGGTGGCAACTGCAAAGTGTATTTGGTGCAGCACAAAAAGTTGCTCTATCGAATGATGGCCACTCTTTTTGACGACGCCCATGACTACAACCAGGAGCTCAGAGTGCTGAACGAGGTGAATAAGCAAGAGTCGGCAAGCTTCCATCATGAGGTTTTCCTGGTAGCCATGGAAAGCACAGTTTCGACATCTCCTGTGCGGTGCCTGGTTCAGCAGTGGCTGCCGATGCTGGATGAGATTGCCAAGCCAATGCGGGGATCCAAATTGGCTGCCGTGGCGTGTCAGCTAGCTCAAGCTTTGACCCATTTGCATGAACTCGGTATCCTACACCTGGACGTTAGAGGGAAGTCTGTTTTCTGGAGCGAGCGGGAGTGCCTCGCGAAGCTTGGCAGATTTCACCGCTCCCGAGCCATGGACAATCAGGAGCCCTTACTGTACCCTCCTTATGCTGCGTCGCACCGCCCGCCAGAATGCTTTCTTTGTCCTCTGGCTAAGATGCCAATGAATCCAAAGACAGAGTCATGGGCCTTTGCTGTAACTCTTGTCAAATTGGCGACGGGAAAGCCTCCTTTCAAGGAAGTCACGGAGACACTGAATTTCAACTGGGCGGAAGACTCAGTGACCAAGAATGAAGCCTTCGAAAGCCTTCCAGATCAAGTGCGGCTTGTCATGTTGCGTCTCCTCGCTGCAGAAGACGATCGTATGCGCTTGAATGATTTCTTGCAAAGTGATCTCCTGACAAGATTGTCAGTAGAGTGGTGATTTGTACAGTCTTTTGGCCAAGAGGGCAGTCAAGAGTGCGGAGCGACGGCACGTGCTCAAATACAACCAGTCCTGTGCTGCGTTCTGACATGTGTGTTTGCGCACAACATGAAGTTTTACCTGTTATCACTAATGATCATGTCCTGCCCGGGCACTCTTCTGCTGCGGAGGTGATCATTGATCAGCCGAAGTTGCTGCAGAAGGCACAGCAAGCTGTGACATTCGAACACTTGCCACCTGTGTTCCGTGTCTCGACTTGCGGCAAAGTTCACACGGCTACGGCTGATGCTAGTATTGCCTGTGTTTCGGCATGGAAGGGATTCATCCTTGTATTGTCCTAGCCGTTGCTTATATAATCGGCTAATGATTGAATCAGGATGCAGAGTCCAAGAAGCAGAAGACTTTAATAGCTAAGACAAGCTGGGCTCGAATGGGGCTTTTGGGGTCTTGGGGTTTTCGGCAACCACCAGCGCTCCACAATCTGAGTCGCTGTAACTGTAATACCCTCCCTACTGGCCTCTCAGATGAAGGGTCCCGCTTGAGGCTTGGGGTCAGTAAATGAAGTGCATTCAATTCCTATCCCTCAAGGCCTCCACCGCCAGCTCGTGTTTCCATACCTTGCCAACAGCTCGGCGTTTCCTGTGGATTCTCAGAACAAACAGACGAATGAAGCGGAATGGTTCTTTGCTCCCATCAAACTATGAGCTCATCATCGAAAGGGCGGTGTTGGACCTAATTTAAAATAGTCAAGCTCTCCAACATGATCCTAGTGGCCGACCTGGCCAATCCTGCTGCAGGCAGGAGAACAACCAACTTAAGCAACATGCACGTGGGGCTGAAAACGACCAGCAAACTTCAAGATGTTGCCTCTGTTCGGTTCCTACATCCAAAATGACTGGAATGCACACATCAGGCATTATTGGCGACGGCTTGTGGCCAAACGATGCCAGGCTCGGCATTCTGCTGTTTTCGGCGCAACCTCTCCGACGACCCATGCAGCCCCCCACTCCCCGCCTCCAAGTAGTTCTCGTTCGAGCTGCGGCAAGGCCCTTGTTCAGAGGCCGGCGGCGTTGCGCAATGCCTCCCTGCAAGGGTGAAGAGGTTCGCAGAAGTTGTCGATGTACTGTAGGACAGTAGCTGGCATGTTGCTATGAGGACTTGCTTTCGACGACTTGCTATCTAGTATTATCTAGTCGTGTAGTTTATTGCAGCATCGAGGCAAGCAAGCAGCTTCTATCGCGAGGCAGCAATTACAATGAATAGCATTTTTGAGAACAACGATGAAGCTGCTATTTCGGACCGGGATCCCACATGTGCGGCATTTTGAGATCGGGGTCCGCGATGGCCACGGAGGGATCTCGTAATGTACCAATTAGGTGCCCGACAAGTGGCAACAAAATCTTGATGATGGACCCGAAGTTGCCGCCCTGTTCACAAATCCGGATTGAGAACCAAAACAAAGTGGGCTTGATCTGCACGGGGTTTGGGACCGACGGTAGGAACCATCGGCCTGATGACAAGCCAAGACCACTTGAGCCCTAAATCCGATAGGCTTTACCCCAACTCCCAAACCCAAACCTTGACTTCTGAAACCCTGCAAGTTGTCCCCTCAATCCGGAACCCTATCTAAATTTGTAGAATACCCTGGCCCTACTCAATCCTTAAGCCTGAAAAGCCGAAATGTCGTGCCATTCACCCACCTGGCTGGTTGCTGCCCAATGCTGCTCAGACCGCCGTCGCCGCCAAAGGGATTGGTTTAGTACTTTATAGTGCCTGCATCTAGTTTAGAATTAGTATTTCTGCTCAAAACGGGGACCACAACAACTGCTTTTATGACAAACGAAGCATGGCACACGCAAGAATTATCTGTTGCCAGCAGAATTGTGTCCTTAGGTGCCCGACAAGTGGCAACAAAATCTTGATGATGGACCCGAAGTTGCCGCCCTGTTCACAAATCCGGATTGAGAACCAAAACAAAGTGGGCTTGATCTGCACGGGGTTTGGGACCGACGGTAGGAACCATCGGCCTGATGACAAGCCAAGACCACTTGAGCCCTAAATCCGATAGGCTTTACCCCAACTCCCAAACCCAAACCTTGACTTCTGAAACCCTGCAAGCTGTCCCCTCAATCCGGAACCCTATCTAAATTTGTAGAATACCCTGGCCCTACTCAATCCTTAAGCCTGAAAAGCCGAAACGTCGTGCCATTCACCCACCAGGCTGGTTGCTGCCCAATGCTGCTCAGACCGCCGTCGCCGCCAAAGGAATTGGTTTAGTACTTTATAGTGCCTGCATCTAGTTTAGAATTAGTATTTCTGCTCAATACGGGGACCACAACAACTGCTTTTATGACAAATGAAGCATGGCACACGCAAGAATTATCTGTTGCCAGCAGAATTGTGTCCTTAGGTGCCCGACAAGTGGCAACAAAATCTTGATGATGGACCCGAAGTTGCCGCCCTGTTCACAAATCCGGATTGAGAACTTAAAACAAAGTGGACTTGATCTGCACGGGGTTTGGGACCGACGGTAGGAACCATCGGCCTGATGACAAGCCAAGACCACTTGAGCCCTAAATCCGATAGGCTTTACCCCAACTCCCAAACCCAAACCTTGACTTCTGAAACCCTGCAAGCTGTCCCCTCAATCCGGAACCCTATCTAAATTTGTAGAATACCCTGGCCCTACTCAATCATTAAGCCTGAAAAGCCGAAATGTCGTGCCATTCACCCACCAGGCTGGTTGCTGCCCAATGCTGCTCAGACCGCCGTCGCCGCCAAAGGGATTGGTTTAGTACTTTATAGTGCCTGCATCTAGTTTAGAATTAGTATTTGTGCTCAAAACGGGGACCACAGCAACTGCTTTTATGACAAACGAAGCATGGCACACGCAAGAATTATCTGTTGCCAGTAGAATTGTGTCAAAAAGTGTACACTTTGCCAGCCCCTACAAACCCAGCCAGTAAGAAACCCTAAACCCCAAACCCTAAACCCTAAACCCTCCATCCCCTGGTCTCGGGACCTTCTGACTGTGGCCTGGATGCTGTGGGAGGACAAAGGGGTTCAAAAAAAGAACCCTAAACATAAACCTTAAACCAACACCTTGTTCTGATTCCTAAGCCCTAAAGCCTAAACCCTAAACCCTAAACCCCAAACCCCAAACCCTAAACCCTAAACCCTAAACCCTGAACCCTGAACCCTGAACACTAAACCTTGTTCTGATTCTTAAGGTCCCGATAGTACTGCTCCGGGCTTCCCTCCTGCCCAGGGCGCCTCCTTCGACGAACTCTCCCGGCTAACGGCCAAGGAAGCCATCGACTCGTTCCTGCAGGTTCTGGGCTTTGGGCTCAGGCTTTAGGGGCTCGGGGTTTAGGGTTTAGGGCTTGGGTTCAGGGTTTATAGCTTGGGGTTGAGGGTTGGATTTTTGTAGGAAAGCGTCGGGAACTGGTCAGTCTCATCGTCCTACTTTCGCATTCTCGGTCTCCTCCCAAGTATTGAACCTTGTCCTCCTCACCGATCTTTCACAAGCCCGCCATACAACAAAGTTTCCGTGCTGTACGCCAAGTGCACATGTGGAGGTGCCGGACCTCCCGTCGGCTCCGAATACCACAGCTGCCCAGGCCTGGACCCGAAATTCTGGACTCTGTCCTTGGTTTAGGGATTGGGGCTCAAGAAGATAAAGGGGTTTCGTGATTTGGGATGAGGGTTTTGGCGGGGGCTGCGGAGCTGCCTCAGGTTTGGGGGTTTAATACGGGGATTTGAGGATTTCGGGCTCGGGGTTTGGGGCCGTGGGATTTACTCTGGTTTGGCCTGAAGCCCGGAGTGTGCTAAGCCAGTTTAGGTCTCAGAGGATTAGAAAGACTCCACCCGGCACGGACTCTCACAGTTTTTGTTCCGAAGCCTTAATCATTGGATCCTCAAGAGCAAACCCTAAAGAACTGATGCCCTCCACCCTAAACAACCCTAATGTATGAACCTGATTAAGAAACCGTAGGTTTTATGAGGGTGTTCTATATGAATCCTCATATATTTGGGGTTATAGGGCCAGGGTTTCTTAATCAGGTTCCTACGTTAAGCATCAATTCTGAAAGCCCTGATGCTCCAGCTTGCCGACTCCCGGCTGCCGGAACCCACAACGGCCTAAGGTTCAAGTGCCTTCGAACACCCTAACCTTGTAACCCCCTACTTTTTATACCCTAAATACCCTGAACCCACATCACCGACCGGAAAAACCCCAAATGCTGAAGGTATGGCCCTTCAGCAGGTAAGCTTTGGAAGTTCGAAGAACCTCGACCCAGAAACCCCCTCAGCCTCCAACACCGTAAGAAACGTTTCAACGAAATTCCGAAACCCCACCCAAATCCCAAACCTCCTGGTCCCAAGACATGTCAAGACCTTGAAGTCAGACAAAACCATGGGACCCCCCTGTAGCCCTCCGAACCTGCAGAGAACCCTTGCAGAACCCGTGCAGAATCCTTACATAGCCAGACAACCCTTCGAACCCTTCCAGAACTGTCACGAACCCTTCACGCCCTTGTAGAATCCTGGAACGAACTTCTATAACCTCAGAGGAGCCCTTAGGAAGAGAACCCTTGCGCAACCCTGAGTAAGATCAGTTTGAGAGAATAGAATCCTTGGTAAGAAGATCCTTTCAACATCCCCTAAACCCTAAACCCTAAACCCTTGGTAAGAAGATCCTTTCAACACGTCCGCCGAGGTGCTCCTGGAACGCTTGGACGCCATGCACCAGACGCTTGGACGCCTGGGCGAGAACCACGGCCGCGGCAAGAGCGAGATGCTGGCCCGGTGCCCAGAGATCCCTAGCCCTAGCCTGATGTGCTTGGAGGTTCATGGGTAGTTATAAGTGGGGTTATAAGTCCCCTAATATGGTTTATAACTATAGTTACCCTACTTGTAACCCTACTTATAACAACACTATATTGGGGTTCCGTATTGGAGTTATGGAGTACAATATACCCCAACACTCTGCGCGAACTATTAAGGCCGCTATGTTGCGTCTCCGTTCAAGACCACGGACCACAGGGTGTGGGGTTGCGGGGGGTCTGGGTAGGGGGGTCCAGCTTTAAGCTAAAGTAGAGAGGCTGCCGCTCTTTCATATGTTTTGATACCCTGATTAACCCCAGGCCCGAAGCCTTGAACCAAGCTTGAGCCCGAAAACCCTGAGCCCCAAAACTCTAAATCCCTAAGCCCCAAATCCAAAACCCTAAGCCTTCGTCTTTTTTTTGCTCTCAGAGGCCCGGCAGATGGCGCGGACGCTGCGGCAATTGCAGCGCCAAGCGAGCTTCCAACTCCGGACCTTGGGCGTCTACCGACAGGAGAGATGTCAGGTTTAGGTTTAGTCCAGGATTAAGCATTTGGGCTTAAGGAGTTGGGATTAGGGATTTAGGCCTAGGGATTTAGGCTTAGGGATTTAGGATTAAGGATTTAGGATTAAGGATTGAGGACTCAGGGTTGAGGAAGTACGTCTTAAGTTTTGTGTTGTAGGGTTTAGGCTTCAGGTTCGCGGGTCCTGGGTTCAGGGGTCGGGGTGTCACGAGTGTTTTGGAAGTCCAGAAATCGTAACTCTTGAACTCTTGACACGCGACCCTCTGCACTACGCCTTCTTGGGCTTTAGGGTTTAGGGTTTAGGGTTCCAACCCCCGCAGTCCATCAACGGCCTTCATCAACATATTTTAGACCCAGCGACCCTGACAGTGACCTGGTACAGTCATGCGTAAGCCTTCGACGACTCCTGAAAAGTTATAGCGCTAACCCCCGACCCCAAACCCCAAGCCCGAAATGTCCGAAATACCACCCTGAACCCTAAACCCTAAACCCCAAACCCTAAGCCCCAAACCCCTAAACCCCAAACCCCTCAGCCCTAAACCCCAAACCCTAAACCCCAAACCTGTAAACCCCAAACCCCAAACCCCCAACCTTAAACCCTAAACCCTAAACCCTAACCTTCTATATCGGTACAGGAGAGCAATGCCAGCAGCCTTATCGCGAAGTCCGGAGCGTCTTCTCGGGAGCGCCACGAGGTTCCAGCGAGGGGTTTTTCGCTTTTTAGGGCCGGTGCTTGGGTTTAGGGTTTAGGGTTTAGGGTTTTGAGGGTTGAGGGTTTAGGGTTTAAGGTGCTTGGGTCTCATGATTACTTTTTAAGAGCTTTTTCATCGGGATGTAGCAGGGATCAAAGCAGAGACCGCTGTGGATGAGTGTGTGGTTTGAGGTTAGCGATTCTGTTTTCCGAGTCCAGGGTAGCCATGCGGCCTTCATAGCAAAACAGTCCAGAGAGTCGTGCAAGCAGCATGGTCGAGCTGTGCTGATGATATACAGTATGGCTGCGATCAGTTAAAGTGAGTCGCACGAGTAGGAGAGTTGGCAGTGAGTTCTGTACGAATCTGTGATTTTCTGTCAGGCAGACCTCCACCCCAAGCAAGTGGCAAGTAATGATGCCCCGGTAAAGAACCGTCTGATGTTGGGAATTCGTTCTGTGTTTGGTACTTCGTCATAGCTGTTGAGACACTTGTTTGTGATGGCATATCGGCCTCAAAGTCTGAGGCTGGAGTCGCGCTGCATCAGAACAAGCCAGTGTGAAATGCCATGTGAAAAAGTTCAGGTGCTGGTGTCCCTGGACCACATCTGGTGGCAGTTGAGGGCCAAGCTGGATGCCTACCTGGATGTCGCAGAGGCCTGCTGAGATCCCTAAACCTAAACCCTAAAACCCTAAAGCCCTAAAGCCCTAAACCCCTAACACCCTAA